GTACAAAAAGGACGTTCTATTTTACACCACAGCAGTTTTCCAATTCAAAGTACGAGATTCTGGGGGAGAGGGCAGTTAAATTAGACTTTACTTCCCCAAAAGCCGTGGCTTATGGCCAAAGTCAGGCAAGCATGGAGCAGATGGAGTCCTGGCAAGGCTGCCACTGTCTCTGCATTAGCAGCATCTGCTCATTACCCAGAACCCTCGCCTGCTTTATCTAATGCTCCAGGAAAAGCATTTTGATTTGATTCATTTCAGCACGGTAACGTGCAACACAATTAGTGGTAAAATCAAACTGGAGGACGGCCAGTGCTGACAATAGGAAACAAGGCAGAAGAAATACGAGGCCAGTGGGTTGGAATTCAAAAACCACAACTGTGGATCAAGTTGCCAAATCCCACTGCCCCAGGTGTACATATAGTGTGCCTACTGGACATAGGGAGAGGAGGATGGAACTTACATTTCCTCTCCATACTGTTTTCCCATCTACCTCTCCTTGCATATGGTTCCTCTGTGGTAGATTCCCAAAGAATATCCCTATGGATGCATTCGCCAGGACTCACAATTAAACTTTTCTTCAGTGCAGTCACAGAGCAAGTTTACCATAGTACACAGGCACAAATCACTGATAGCATCCCTACAGGATGCACTCTTTTCTTGCTATTATATTTTATTCTTTAGGAAATGTTAGCAACTGCTGTATCGGCAGATGCTGAATGAGTAGAATCTGCCTTAGCGTTTCTGCAATCAGATGTCAAGGACATCAGTGCTTGAGCACTGTTCAACTGGGAGAAACTGATGTTCTCTCAATGAGTCTGCTAGCCATGGATTCTTTGCCTGATAACACCCTCTTCAACACTCCAGCAGATGGTTTCTGTATATTAGTTAAACTTACAAAAGGAAGAGAGCTGGAAAAATACAACAAGCAAAAGCACATACTAATTTAGGAAGTTTTTGTCATCTCTCTATATATTAAAAAAAGTTTTTCCTGCGGGACAACAGAGTGACTTGATCACATCAGTCTGCGTCCTGCTTGCCTCCTCCTTCTCTCCCCACTTCTCCCCTCCCACTTGGAATTGCTATTTTAAATCAAGCCCCTTCTCCTTTCCTCCACCTCCACCCCATAGGGCTTTCAACACCAAGAAACATGTCACAGTAGGCAGCAGGCCCATTTCACAGTCATGACAATCCAGGGGCGGCAGGGGAGCTATGTTGCTCAGGCAGCAGCCTGGGGACAGGCGCTAGGAGCAGTGGTCCCAGCCGGGTTTATATGTCAGCAGCAGCCTCTTGGAGGGTCCCCTGCCCCCAGGCTGTTCCCCTGCCACCAGGCTCTTCGGGAGCTGGAGCACAGTGCCTGATTGCTCCAAGTCCAGCTGCCCCTGTGGAAACTCATGCCCACCTCAGCGGCTGCACTTCCTGAAGCAGCCAAAGCACTTCCGAGCCATCTGGGGGAATCGTCGCGCTAACCTGTCTGCTCCTTCCCTTCCACGCCCAGTGGCCAGATGGGTGGCCCTGGACTCTGCGGGCAGGGCTGAAGCGGTGAGCAGCACAGGTGGGACTGCACGGGGGAGCAGCTGGGTGAGCAGCCCCCTGCGCTGCTGCTTTCCCCCACCTCAACAGGCTGCAGTGCCCCAGAGCGCCATGTGCACACGGCACAACCTGTGTATCACTGCGCCCCACAAAGGGCATGTAGGCACCTCTGGGCCTCCCCATTCACCGGAGTTAGAGCCGGGCCTGGTGCATGCTGTGGGTGGGGGAGGTTAGAGTTGGGGGGAAGGAGAGAAAGGGCCAAGGCTGGTTGGGTGGGGGAAAAGAAGGAAAAAGGAGGGGCCTGGGCTGTTGCAGCGGGTGAAAGAGAAGGGGCCAGGCTGGCGCAGCAGGGGGAGGAGGAAGGAGGAGAGCCTGGGCTGGCATGGAAAGGGAGAAGGAAGGGGCCCGGGCTGGCACAGCTGCAGCCCAGCCCTCCCTGGTGGCTGGGGAGAGGAGCCGGGGCTGCCTTACCGCCCACAAGAGGGAGGTTGGCAAACGCTATGAACAGGGACACAGCCCCCTAGTTTAGATAAAAAATAATTCTCTCCAGTAAACCGACAATATGTGCCCTGTCACTCATGACAGTAAACAACTTAAAAACAATTAAAAAGCAAGTGTGTATGGAAACTAAGCTATTTTGATTGAGGCTTTCAAATGTGAATAATTACTGACCTGACACAAAGTCCATTAAGTAATGCATCCAGGAGAGTTAAGACATATAGCTATACTCATGACAGTTACTTATTCTCACATTGAAACACACAATTCAACACAAGGACCATGAGACAAACAGATAATTAGACCTGTAGTCAAAGAAAGACCAAAACACAAACTAATATAAAAACAGAGAACGCTGCTCTTTTACCTGTTTGCACAAACTGGATAGAAAGCCAGAGATCAGCTCCCTTGTGCTATAATACCCAGTGACTTAACTACCCAAGCACAATGTACAGATGTTAATCACAACAGAATGGCTGTTGTTAGGAAATATACCATTAACATTTTCTGGTTACAACAAATGACAGAATTAATGCTGCAAAAGACAAATACTACAATCAAAATACTTTGTTTCAAAGCAGAGATTTGGTTTGTTTAAAAAAAAATATGTACAGATTTGGTTTCTCTGTCATACTTTGTGTTTTTTCCCCATCTGCCAGCTGGTGACATTACAGTGCATCAAAATCAGCACTTATATCATAGCTCTGTAACTAACAGGTTTTGGTTCTGACCAGATGTGAGGAATGGGTCCTTCGCATGTCAAATCGTGACAAGTTACATGGAGAATGCAGATTATAATAGTAATTAGTTTTGCTTAGATTCCTAAAGCAGAATCCCAATTACTTGAATTGATCTTATTCATGATTCCATTTTTTCAATGACCTGTCACCATGCATCTCTGACCTACTCACTCTCTGCCTCAACTTCTGGCACATAGAAGAACATAATTTGTTGGACAAAAGTCAACATGGTTTCTGTAAAGGGAAATCATGTCTTACTAATCTATTAGAGTTCTTTGAAGGGGTTAACAAACATGCAGACAAGGGGGATCCAGTAGATATAGTATACTTAGATTTTCAGAAAGCCTTTGACAAGGTCCCTCACCAAAGGCTCTTGTGTAAATTACATGGCCATGGGATAAGAGGGAAGGTCCTTTCTTGGATTGAGAACTGGTTAAAAGACAGGAAACAAAGGGTAGGAATAAATGGTAAATTTTCAGATTGGAGAGGGGTAACTAGTGGTGTACCCCAAGGGTCAGTCCTGGGACCAATCCTTTTCAACTTATTCATAAATGATCTGGAGAAAGGGGTAAGCAGTGACGTAGTAAAGTTTGCAGATGATACCAAACTGTTTAGGATAGTCAAGACAGAAGCAGACTGTGAGGGACTCCAAGAAGATCTCACCAAACTGAGTGATTGGGCAACAAAATGGCAAATGAAATTTAATGTGGATAAGTGTAAAGTAATGCACACCGGGAAAAATAACCCCAACTATACGTACAGCATGATGGGGGCTAATTTGGTTACGACAAATCAGGAAAGAGATCTTGGAGTTATCGTGGACCGTTCTCTGAAAACTTCCACGCAGTGTGCAGCGGTGGTCAAAAAGGCAAATAGGATGCTAGGAATTATTAGGAAAGGGATAGAAAATAAGACCCAGAATATCTTACTGCCCCTGTATAAAACTATGGTACGCCCACATCTTATATATTGTGTACCTCAAAAAAGATATTTTGGCCTTGGAAAGGGTTCAGAAAAGGGCAACTAAAATGATTAGGGGTTTGGAACGGGTCCCATTTGAAGAGAGGTTAAAGCGACTGGGACTTTTCAGTTTAGAAAAGAGGAGACTGAGGGGGGATATGATAGAGGTCTATAAAATCATGAGTGGTGTGGAGAGGGCCGATAAAGAAAAGTTATTTATTAGTTCCCTAAATAGAAGAACTAGAGGAAACCAAATGAAATTAATGGGGAGCAGGTTTAAAACTAATAAAAGAAAGTTCTTCTTCACACAGCGTGTAGTCAACCTGTGGAACTCCTTGCCAGAGGAGGCTGTGAAGGCTAGGACTATAATAGAGTTTAAAGAGAAGCTAGATAAATTCATGGAGGTTAGGTCCATAAAAGGCTATTAGCCAGGGGATAGAAATGGTGTCCCTGGCCTCTGTTTGTCAGAGATTGGAGAAGGATGGCAGGAGACAAATCATTGTCTTCGGTCCGCCCTCTCTGAGGCACCTGGTGCTGGCCACTGTCGGCAGACAGGCTACTGGGCTAGATGGACCTTTGATCTGACCCAGTACGGCCGTTCTTATGTTAACTCTATCTCACACACATCTGATAGATCCTAAGCAGGAAAAGATTATTAGGATTATAGTAGATTCCTAACGAAAACATAATTAGGCTTTTTTTTTCCAGATAAGAGTACGTGATAAAATAAGCAACTGGTATTGTTTACAAAAAGAAATTTTCCTTCTTCGCCACATACCATAGTCCAATACCAGTGAAAATTAAGGGACCAGTACAGGCAATATTCTTTACATACTCCCTAGATAGACTACACATAGGGTCTTATGAGAGACTATACAGAATTCTGATTAACCGGGTACTGAAAGTTTAGCCATATATCCATAAACATGCCTCAGGGTGCCCTAAGAAAAACAAGGCTGCTGAAGAATATTTTACAGCAAACAATTTATTTGCTTAAGACGGCTTGGTTGGATCACTGCCTGGCACTCAAACCCTGTGCAGCAGTTCCAGTAGGAATTACACATCAGTTTTAATGGGTGCTGTGTTCCAATGCTTTCTAATGCATTTAGGGTTATTGGCCAACTTCTTCACATAAAAGCAAGTGTGTGTGCAAGTGTGTGTGTATACAGAGGATTATAGATCCACAAAAAGCTGAGCACAGCTGCTTCATTTTTGTTAAGCTTTGTTTATCACAAAAAAAGGGGGGGGGGAGGAGAGTTGTGGGTTACTTACCGTCCTCATAAGCTGCTACAGCCAGAGAGCTGTTTATCCTCACAAAGGAGACATGTGGCTGAGGTCCAGGATCAGCAGAGCCATGCACTGGTTCCAGGATGGGGGCTGTGTAGTCCCAGGTGCGGGTGTCCCACAACCTCACATCTCCTGATGTATATCTGGAAGGGAAGAATATTATTAATTCAGAAAACGTTTGAAAAGATTTGGGAAAACAGAGCTGGGCGGAAAGGAAACAAAAAGAGTCCTAAAACCAAACCCCATAGGAATGGGACTCCCTCTGTTTAAGTTCATTGCATTGCAACATAACTAAGACATCTTAGATATAGGATCTGAGCCGCCTCTCACTTATTCTGATTAGATATTGGCATAAGTTCACTGATTTCAGTGGAGTTATTTCCAATTCATACTACTGTTATATATAGAAACTGGTCAATTAAGTCTTTCAAACAGTCTAGAAATTAAAGTGATCCCAATGTAGTTATAGAAAAATGCTAAAACAACATATAACTTTCTAGAAAGGGTGTAAGGCGAGATGAATCAGTGCTCATTACATTACACCACGCATGGTGAAACCTATATTGTAGTTTATGTATCAATCCTCCTTTGTCCTTAAGACCTGCCTTTACTGCAAGGGTCATGTACAGACATTTTTAATCAACAGCAATATTTTCACATGCACAGATGACAGACAGTGAAAACTAATGCTTTTGGTAGGCACAAGCTTTCCAATGTCTCATCCATGCATCAAAGTTGACTGAGTCAAGTCCCTGAAGACTAATTGATTTGTTCATACAATAAAGTCACGGCTTTAGATTCAAAGCAGTGCTGCCTTCACACGGAAAGCTCTTTTGCTGGAACATGTGGCAATCTCTAGTTTTACTCCACTTAAGAAGATAAAAAACCAAAACAAGCCTCTCAGATTACAAGAGCTGTACCTAATAGATCAATTAAGGCCACAAAGATGAGAGTAGCACAGAACCTGACTTACAGGGTATGTTTTAAGGCACCAACAATAAAATTGGGGGAAGGGAGAGAGTAAAGAATGTTGTATGCAGAGTGGAACAGTCTGCAAAAAGAATGACACACCAGCTCCCTTACTATTTGTCAAAGAGGAATATCAGTCTGAAATGGAAAAAATAAAGCTATGGTGCACAGCAGTGGCTAGTATGAAATCACAGTGGGACAGGCAACAATAAAAACTTTAAACCAGTTTCTTTATCTCTTTTTCCATAATGCTTAGAAGCACACAGTGTTTTATAAATAAAAGACAAACCCCTTTCTCGTTAATTTTGACATTCGCCATAACATTTGAAGAACAGTTTCTTTTATAACAACATTTTTCATTAAACTGAAAGCTTCTCAGGGCACAGGACTAGTTTTCTTCTTGTTTATAAAGTGTATAACACACTTTTCCTGCTACATAAGTTAATAAATACTAATTGTAAATGAAAGGAAGGATGGTCCTGTGGTTAAAGCACTGGCCACGACTACACTAGCACTTATGTTAGCATATCACTCCAGAAGCTAGCGCTTTAAGAGATGCATGCTAGTGCTGGCAGCATTGAGCAGTAGAGTATTTACCTCCACGCTTAACAGAAGGAAAAACAATAACATCTTCTTCCTGCACAAATGCATATTTGTTGGCATTTATTCAGATGTGGGAATGTAAATAAAAAGTGCAGGAGTCTGGAATGGAAGGCCGAAAGGTTTGAGCAAAATTAGGAGGAAAAAAAACAGATTTTTTTTTATTTCTATAAGCACTAAACTTAACTTCTCTGTATAGCATGCAAGATAATCACTCTGGGTCTTGAACCATGCTACTACACAAGAGGATAAAAACGATTGGTGTTGGATTCCTTAACAGTGAATTCTAGAACAAAAATAAGCTTTAACTTTATTCTAAAGGACAATACAGTCTCAATGTTAGCAACTTAAACATTGTTGAAGTACTAGAAGAAAAGGAAAGCAGATTTTCTACTTAAAGCAATTAATTTTTACATCAAGGGATTTGTTGCACAAGGCAAAACTTCATGTTCTTGTGGCTGTTTTGCCTACCAGAGGTTGGCTCAGCAGAAAGACATGCTGAACAATACATAAACTGCTCCTAGATGAAAGATTAATGCCAACATTCCAATTAAAGACTCTCCCACCAACCTCAGTAATTTTTAGAGTTCTCATGCAAATTTTCTTCTGATGACTTATATTAAACTGAGAGAATCACAAAATGAAGTAATTTATACACAGACGAGGTACAGAAACTCTTAAGACTATTCACATTGGCTTCTCTTGCTGGAAGGATATAACAATGGGGTTCTGCAGGGGTCTGTTTTGGGACAGGTTCTGTTCAACAGCTTCACCAATCATTTAGATCAGTGGTCCCTAACCTTTTGGGGCTGCCGGGCACCCAGGGGTGGGGCCGCTCACGAGCCGCATGCCCAGGGCCGCCCATGTGCCACGTGCCCAGGGCCGGCACCATGCATGTACCACGCGCCCAAGGCAGGAGCCACCCATGCACCACGTGCCCGAGGCACGGGCTGCCCATGCGCTACACGCCAGAGGCCAGCACTGTGCATGTGCTGTGCACCAAGGGCAGAGGGCACCCATGCGCCATGTGGGATTCCGCACGTGCATGTAAATGCCCCGGCGGATGCCATGGCGCCAGCAGGCACCACATTGGGGACTACTGATTTAGATGATGGCATAGAGAGTACATTTATTAAGTTTGTAGATGATACCAAGCTGGGAGGGATTGCAAGTGTTTTGGAATTTAGGGTCAAAATTCAAAATAATCTGGACAAACTAGAGAAATGGTCTGAGGTAAACAGGATGAAGTTTAATAAGAACAAATGCAAAGTACTCCACTTAGGAAGGAACAATCAGTTTCCCACATATAGAATGGGAAGCGATTGTCTAAGAAGGAGCACGAGTGAAAGAGATTCAGGGGTCATAGTGGATGACAAGCTAAACATGAGTCAACAGTGTGATACTGTTGTAAAAATAAAAGCAAACATGATTCTGGGATGCATTAACATGAGTGTTATGAGCAAGATACAAGAAGTCATTCTTCCGCTCTACTCTGTGCTGATTAGGCCTCAATTGGAGTGTTGTGATCAGTTTGGGCACCACATTTCAAGAAAGATGTGAAGAAATTGGAGAAGGTCAAGAGAAGATCAACAAAATTTATTAAAGGACTAGAGAACATAAGCTACGAGGGAAGACTGAAAGAATTCTGCATGTTTAGTTCCAGACCAGATATTCTTTACTTACTCTCTGTGGTCTTGTTGAAACTTCTAAGGACCCTTTCTCTGGCTAATTCTCAGCCAAGCCTAGTATTCTACAAGAACACACCTCCTGTGCCACAATCTGCTACTTTACCAACAGTGGTGAGAAAGCCTTTGCTTCTGAAACTCCTGCTATCCCCCTTACCTACCTCATCACTTACCACCTCTAAAAGCAATCTTTTTTTGACATAACCATATTATTTATTCTAATACAATTTTTGGTAAGGCTATTGCATAATTCTGAAAAGCAGCCTGTAATACACCTTGAAGGAAGTCACAAAATCAGAACCACATCGAGTTAATTTGCTTATGTTAATTAAACCTATTTTTAATCCTACAGTGAACATGTGATATTTAGCATATTCTTTACATCAAAATACTTCACAAAATTAATTAATTCTTGAAACACTCATTGAGGCAGATAAGGATTATGATCCATATTTTATAGACGTGAAAATAGAGCCAGAGAAGTTAAGGCTCAGATTTGTAAAGATATTTAGGATTGGTGTGATCAGCACTGTAATGCCTAATTAAAAGGAGCCTAAATCTTATTTTCAAGAAAAAATTAGGTATTCAGAAGTCTAAATTCTATTTAATCTCTTTTGAAAATGGGATTTAGGCTCCTAAATCAGTTAGGCATTGTGACAATCAGTGCAGCAAAGCCTAAATACTTTGAAAACTCTAGGTCTGTCTAGCCCAAGGCTAAAAGTGTTACAGTCAAAGCTGAATGCACACTACAAATGAGCCTTTTAAAAATCTGTTTACTTATGGAGATAATTTAACTGCATTTACTAGTAGTATCTTTACCAGAAGGTAAGCAATATCTTCCTTAAACTCTTTTATGATGTTGAAAGTGGAAGACAGGTGCTTAGGAAAAACAAACTGTGGCCTGCTTTAGCAGGTACTCCATGCTGACTCAGCAGTGGGCAGTGAAATGCAGCACACGTGGAAGAACACAAAAGTGTGGGAGTTGGACACTGTTCTAATGAAGAGGTACTGAAGAAGCAGACAATTTCATAAGCACAAAAACTGGGAAACTGGACAAAAACAAAATCAGATCTGAAAAAGCTTAACTATATCGGATAGCAAGAGCCAGAACAAATTTGGGGAAGGGGGAGGAAGACTGATCTCTCTCCAGAGCCCCAGATGTCTTTATGGTTACCTAATGACAATTACCTTCAACCAATTAAGACACTGCTATCACAGTTGCATTGTTAGTAAGCCTTTGGCCCTCAGTGTTTATGGCTGTCTAATTAGTGTTTGTGCAAAGTAAAACTGCAACAAATACATAAGCTAACAAATACAAAAAAGATAAACTGTTACCAGGAGCATTTTCAAAACAGTAGTGAAATTGTTCATTCCGTCCATTTGCAACTGTGCAGACAAACTGTTTCCTTCTTAATGTTCTCAGTACTGGCAGGACAGATTTTCACTCCAAACAAATAGGTCATATGGGCCATTACTTCTTTTCTATTTTTCTAGGATATTGGGATAGCTCCTTGATTTGGGCTACCCCAACTACATCATACCACAGCACCTAGCTAACCTTGAATGGTTTAATACCACAGACCTCAGATATGCAGGCTCACAATTAAATTTAGTATTCTCATAATTCCTCTAAAGAATATGTAACAAGAAAAAAGGGGGAAAAATGCCTCGCACTTAGGTTTAATTTCCAGAAGGCAAAGTCTGTTCAGTTTCCAGATACCTGTGGTGATCAACAAAACAAAAAAAACCCAACAACTTTGTTTCAGGCAGTCAATGACCATCTGTTAATACTCAAAAGATCTGATTATGAAATCCTTATTAAGTCACAACTCCTACTGAAGTCAGTGGGAATTTTGCTCAAGTAATGATCCACAGTCATAGCACAGAGT